GCATTTATTTCAAAAGCATGTTGTAAGCATTTATTCAAAATGTTTCATCTATTTGTAGATGTATGTTGCAATCATTTTTATCTCATATGTTTTCACACATATATTGCAACAATATGTTTCAAATGTTTTAGTTGTTTCAGTCTTATGTTGCAGTAAGTATTTTTTCATGTTGCTATCTAGATGTTGCATATGTTTCATACACATGTTGCAAGCATATGTCCCAAATATTTTATCTGTTTCAAATGTATGTTGCATTTGACTGTTTTATGTTGCAAGTGCAGACCGCCGGCGTTGGTGTCCATGAGGACGGGAAGGGCCAAGCCGCGGCCACTGACGCGTGGAGGAGGCATAGGTCGCACAGTGCTGTTGTGGAAGAGGCGGAGACGAGTTTTCCGGATGGCCTGGAAGAGACGGGTGTCGCACCGGTGTGGTAGTGGCGGGGGCGAGTCACCCAAGCAGCGTGGGCAGCGGATCTAAAGCGTGCGGTTCGGATGCGGACGCGGGAAACGGAGTTGGCGCGGGCGGCGCACGAATTCGAGCGGATGGGGTGGAGCAGCCGGGGGCGTTCGGACAGACGCAGGCGTCCGGATGTCAGGGCCCTAGTGCTGCCACACTACAAAGGCGGCAGCGGCAGAAGATTGGAAGGGGGGCGAATGATTCAGACTTTTAGAGAACAACTTCGAGTCTGTTCGGCTGGTATTAAAGCCGGCTAAAACTGTTTTGCTGTGAGAGAAAATACTGTAGATTTTAACTAATAAACCGGTTGATAAGTTCAAACGGACAGACCATCTTCCTCTCCTGGCGTCTCTCTCCTTCCTCTACTCTTGAAGCCTCCTATCTGTACTTGTAGAGATTCCTTGGGGTTCCTCGTTCTACTCTTTGGAATTTTGGATCCCCTGCCACATCCCATGCCCTATCTCTCTCAGATTTGTATCTAAATTCAGTAGACTGGAGGGTGTGTGTTAACAGATGAGTGAGGGTGATGGAGGGCAACTGGACTGGACCAGCTAACAATAAAATCGAAAGCCTCTTCAATTGAGGTTCAGTCTCGCGGAGTGAGAATTCAGAGCCAGAGAGCAGTGACGATACAGCAGCTAGCACACAGGCAGCATATCTAATCTACCAGGCTTTGCAGGTAGGAGTAGAGCACAATAAGCAAAGGTAGGCCCCTGACCCCCTGTTTATGTTCATGGACGGCAGTGTTGCAGTTGCTGGCTGGCCTGGAATCTCATCTCGATCGTCAAAGCACAACATGCAGTAGCTAGCCAGCAAAGCAAAGCAGAGCCCTTGCGGGCTTGACCATTCATAAGTTTAGATTCAATGACTAAAATTTATGAAATATGTCGAGAGGACGTTTGTTTGATAGTAATAAAAAAACAAACTACATAATCCGTCAGTACTATACGAGATAAATTTTTTAAACCTAATTAACCTGTTATTAGCATATATTTACTGTAACACCACATTATCAAATCATGAACTAATTAAGCTTAAAAGATTCGTCTCATAAATTAGTCGCAAACTATACAATTAATTTCGTAATTAGTCTATATTTAATATTCTATGTGTCCAAATATTTAAGAAGAAGCTGCTAAAATTTAGAGGGTGGGGGGCAACAAACACCCCTAAAGAGACGTGGAGTGACAGGTACCGTACCTGCAGGGGCCCCAGCCGCTTGAATGCTGCTTGGATTGGAGTGACAGGTACCGTACCTGATTGGATTGGAGGCCGTGGTGGTTGATTCAGGTTCAGATTCCGCTCCATCCCTGATGGCAACGAGGAACCGTCCAAAAGGGCATATTCATCTGCATTGCTTTCAGGGCATGTTTGGTTTTTATAAGTCAGGTGATTTATTAAATCAGGTGACTGAAAATCAATAATTTATAAGTTATATCTGTTTAGTTGTAGATGACTTATAAGTTTATTAAAGGTGTGGGCCCCACGTGAAAAAAGGTGACTTATAAGTTTTAAGCATGAGTGAACCAACTAAAAACTTATAAGCGGGGTGACTTATAAGTTGGTGGTGTTTATCAGCTGGTCTGATGCAAACGTAATGGAATCAGCCGCAATTGATATTTGTTTACAAATGCACTGCACGTCTCTTTTTCCTTGGAAGTTTTATTCCGATCTCTGCATAAGTTACGCACTCGATCAAAGTTTAAAACGAAGCAAATCTCTGGCAAAGAATAAGCTCTCAAATAGCTCGCAAGAAGAAAAAAAGGAAATAAACTATACAGTAAGCCTATTATATGTCTCTCTTTAATTTGGAGAAATTATATATATTGGAAGCGATGAGACACGTACGACTGCACTGCAGCGTGTGAATTGTAACCGTGGCCGAGCATGAGCACAGTTTGTGTGGAAAACTCCCATGGTTGCATTTCGTGGAAGCAATGTAAGGTTGTGTTTGATGAATTTTGGGAAACTCCCATTGGTATTGAGGTTTTGAGAGGAGCCGCGTGGGCAAGGAGAATTATCGTGGAATTGTATCTCTCTCGGGGCTGATTTTATCTCGCGAGGCTTTCAACCAAACAATAGAGAGAAAAAAAGGTCGTCGTGTCCTTACTAAATGTCCAGATCTAAACAAGTTATGTTGTTGTGCTGCAACCCAACGCAACGCATGCAGGGTGGAATATATGTGATGTCCCTCCGTGGACAATCTCTACACACTCGATATGAGGTTGACTTCAGTAGTATTTTTAGCCATACCAAGTCAATTCAGCGAAACGAACCAGCTGTGATGGACCATCGTGCGTGTTCAGGAGGAGTACCATCCCATCGGGGGAGAAACCAAACACCAGGCTACCAGAGACAGAGAAAACACACCGTCAAATTCGACCAGTCATTCAAAGAGCTGGTACGGACGACGACGGTCCAGTCTTGAATCGGTAGGTCCATTGAAGGTGGCGAAAATAAAACTAATTGATAGTTTGGTGGGAAATGAGACGAACGTTTTGAGCATAATTAGTCATTGTTGGTTTCATTTGTTGGTTGGCGTGCGTGGCTTTTCTCTCTCAAAAAAACGAAGAAGTGTGGCATAAATCATATACCAAGACCAACAAATAATAACGATATATATAAGGCATAACAACACACAAGTGGCAAATGTCGCATGTGTCCATCTGCATTGCGTGCAATTGCAAATAAACCATTGCATCTCCTAGATCCGATCCAACTTATGAAACGCTAACAGAAGAGGGGAGGCAGAGAGGAGTTGTTGGTGGTAGTTGAGTTGAGTGAATAAGCTGCCTCGCGCGAGGAGAGGACAACAACAGCATGCACACCTATGCATGTAGCATGTTCCATAATCATAGCCTTGTCCTCACTTCTGCACGCGTAGCATATATACATAGTAAAAGAAAAATAAATAGAGACCTCGTGTTGCTTCCTCATCTGCACGTTCAGATACTCACATCATATGTGAGGAGGCCGGCCCTCAACAGCTCAACAACCGATTACATACATACATACATACATACATACATACATACATACATCCTCCTGCATTGTCCTCACACCAACTGATCGATGATGGTCCACTGGTCCTTCTGTCCTGATGATTAGCATTATTCCACCTCCACATCCTCACGCCTACAAACTCCTTTTTTTTTCCCCCATTACTCTTCTCCCAAACCTGCATTACTACTAATCCATCGCATTGTTCGAGTAAAATTTATTTGACCATTATTTCACACTCTTTTTAAGTTCGGGAGTGCAAGCATCGGCCCGTCCGTGAGCCCCCAAAAAATAGGCCAATTCGATGCCCAATTTTCAGGTGGGGTGGGGATCCTCTTCCCTAGCTCGTTGAACCTAAAAATTAGGCCAAATTCGCTTACAAATCAACCTATTTTGCGGGCTCGTACACATTCCCGTTTAAGGTCCAGACCGTAATCCTTGCATTAACATTGTGACAAACTTAAAAAAAAACTATAGTATACTAGAAAATATATCTGCGTGTTGAAACATGAGGGAAAAACCCAAACCCAATAAAACATTAGCCTACCTTTTTTTATTATAATTAAGAAACATTTTTGGATAAGTAGGCCCACAACTTTAAATAAGTTTGTCAACAAAACTCTTCATTCAGCCCATCCCTACACATCCTAACAACTTAAATTAAAGGAAAGCGAAAGACAATTTCGCGAATTGGCTGCATTCATCCCAACCCAGTAGCTATGACAGCAACAAGCTCAGGGTAGGTATTCAACCCTAAATGGATGGCTCTCAGCAGCGATCCACAAACACAGCTGTCCAACTTTGTACCCTAATCCAAATGACATCCCGCTGAAGGATGGAAGCAAAGATGAACGCAACACTTAGAAGAGACCTCGTTAGGGCTCACCGCTAGATTTTTCGCACAGTATCCGTTAACGAGCCATTTTAATAATCTAGACCATTAGATGAACACGAACTCCAAACGATATCAGAGGAGTCTTGAGTGGCTATGAGACAGACACAGGAGGGGTTCAAGCCCACTTGTCATTGAGTGGAAGAGACTGATAGATGGAAACGATCCTACTTTTAATATTAGATAGATATAGAGATATGTTGTATATAGATGAGGTATCAAATACTTCTCTCCATCCGTCAAAAGAATGCAATTCTAGAACAGTATTATATTTTAGTATATTACATTTGATCAATTATAGATAAAAAAATATAAATATTTATAATATAAAATAAATATTATTAGATTAATTACGAAATTAGAACCATAGATGTGAATATTATTTACTAGAAACTTGATCAAACGTGAATCATTTAAAATGACACGTAACCCATAGTTGTAATCTTTTAGGGATAGAGGTAGTGCAAGATTTTTTTATATATATAAAAAGTCTAAAGACACTAACTCGCAAATAAGTTATCAGTTGTCACGCAGGTATTACAACAAACATCCCTGTCCCACGAAATTGCAGAACAAAACAGTGCGGACAACTACGGGAACATCAGGAGTGTGTGACCCCAAAAGGCCAAAGGCCTGGGACAGGTAGGCACACATGCCACATCCCCCACCATCAGCTACCATGGCATCCTCTCCACTTCCTCCTCCTCCTCGCCAGGAAGAGGAACAGGAACAGGGACGGGAAGAGGCGCACCACCATGGCGGTGGCGGCGGCGGCGACGACGACCAGATTACCACCCCGCTCCGTAAGCATCTACCGTCCGTCCCCGTCGTCTCATGCACCATAGCAGTTTGCTACCGTTGTGGTTTCCATGCTCCACACTGCCTTGTCGGCTGTCAATCGTGTTCATTCCCAATGATGATGATGATGCAGTGGTGGAAGCGACGACGTCGACGTCGCGCAGCTCGCCGGTCGACGAGGACTACTCCGACGACTTGTCGGAGGAGAACTCGCCCATCGAGGAGGTGGCGCTGACGGTGCCGGTGGGGGACGACCCGTCGACGCCAGTGCTGACGTTCCGGATGTGGGTGCTGGGCACGGCGTCGTGCGCGCTGCTGTCGTTCCTGAACCAGTTCTTCTGGTACCGCAAGGAGCCGCTGACCATCACGGCCATCTCGGCGCAGATCGCGGTGGTGCCGCTGGGCCGCCTCATGGCCGCCGCTCTCCCGGAGCGCCCCGTCCTCCGCGGCACGCGCTGGGAGTTCTCCCTCAACCCGGGCCCCTTCAACGTGAAGGAGCACGTGCTCATCACCATCTTCGCCAACTCCGGCGCCGGCACAGTCTACGCCATCCACGTCATCACCGCCGTCCGCGTCTTCTACGGCAAGAACATCACCTTCTTCGTCTCCCTCCTCGTCGTCCTCACCACCCAGGTACTACGCCACGGCCACGCACGCCCGGCGTCACGCGTCGCTGCACGGGCAAAACGTTTGGCGTTTGTTAGCTTCGTGTTGCGTGCCGTGCGAGGCTTCAGCTTCACTGTCTGTCACGTATTGTGTGCACGCAGGTGCTGGGGTTCGGTTGGGCGGGAATATTCCGGCGGTATCTGGTGGAGCCGGCGGCGATGTGGTGGCCCTCCAACCTCGTGCAGGTCTCCCTCTTCAGGTACGTACTGAATTACCAGCTCTGCTTGCCTGCCTTGGCCTCCATTCTCCGACCAATAGTTTCGAAGACATAGCGTATATCTAGGCGCATAATAAAAACCATGTAAAAAACCCAAAGCGATTTATGATTCGGAAAGGATGGAGTGATGGACAAGCTACCATTGATTAGTTTGACAAAAGACAAAATAAACAAAAGCTTCGTTATCATTGATCAGCCAAGTATCGGTAGTTTACGGTGTACTGATTCTACGTTAGTGTGAGTAGAGATGTAATGTGTGATGTGAGTGGTTGGCACGGATGTGCATGCGTTTGGCGTTCTGATTTTTAAGACATAACGTCATGATAGACAATGGGCGTGGATTACCTGGCATGGGCCATGCCACGTCGTTTTGGAGTTGCTTACATCCAAGCAAGAAAGGGACTGCAATGTGACTGGTACATAGAGGAAATTTGAAATGATGAGCAGATAGAGAAAGAAAAGACGATCACGAACACTAGGGTTCATATTCCAGGTAGAGAGTAGTTTCTGAATTGTAAGGTTGTGACGATGAAGCACGCGATCGATCGAGAATACATACAAGAAAGGTATGCGCTCCAGCTGACCAAGCTGGATCCGAAAGATTCCAACAACTGGAAACTGGCTTTTGCAACAGCTGACCAAGCTGGACCCGTTCGGCTGACAGAATTTTAGCTGAAACTGTCTGAAAAACACTGTTCTGACTGAATTGTTGTGAGAGAAAACACTGTTCCGACTAAAAAAAGAAGCCAAACAAACTGAATATGGGGTAAGCCGAACAGGACCGATCATACATGAGTATTATTTTATCGTTACGGTCAGCTCGTTCGTATTGTACTGGTTCTGAAAACGACTCGCATCACATGCAAAGAAAATATTCCTTATGAGTCTTGAAAATGAGGTAAACAGGCACGGCGAGAGAACAAGTCAGAGTTTATTTTTCCATGACCCAAATGAAAATTCGTTTGAGAATGCAGAGAGATTAATCAAAGATTCAGACAAATATACATGTTCATGTTTTGCCACTAATAACTTTACTACGACAACGACTTACACAAACATTGCAATGTGTGTCTGCTCACCAGGGCGCTCCACGAGAGAGAACGGCGGGTCAAAGGAGGCATGACGCGCAACCAGTTCTTCCTGGTGGCATTCGTCTGCAGCTTCGCCTACTACATCTTCCCGGGCTACCTGTTCCAGATGCTCACGTCCATGTCCTGGATCTGCTGGGTTTTCCCGCACTCCGTGCTCGCCCAGCAGCTCGGGTCAGGCCTCGAGGGACTCGGCATTGGAGCGATCGGTCTCGACTGGTCCACCATCTCCTCCTACCTTGGGAGCCCCCTTGCCAGCCCCTGGTTCGCCACCGCGAATGTCGCTGCTGGGTTCTTCACAATCATGTATGTGATCACGCCCATTGCTTACTGGTTCAACTTCTACAAGGCGCAAAACTTCCCCATCTTTTCCGATGGCCTCTTCACCTTGACCGGGCAGACGTACAACATCTCGAGCATCGTGGACTCACACTTCCAATTTGATACCAAGGCGTATGAGAAGAATGGTCCGCTGTACCTCAGCACTTTCTTTGCCGTCACCTATGGTGTCGGTTTCGCATCCCTTACCGCGACGATTGTTCATGTTTTCCTCTTCCATGGAAGGTGAGCAAGTTCTTCTGGAGTTCCTCATTCTGCTAAAGAAAACACAATAATGAAGTAAAGAATCATGATGTGCTTGTGTGCAGTGAAATTTGGCAGTTAAGTAAATCAGCTTTTCAAGAAAAAAAGGTGGACATACATACAAAGCTTATGAGGAGATATAAGCAGGTCCCGGAGTGGTGGTTCATCTGCATCCTCATTGCTAACATTGCTGTCACCATATTTGCCTGTGAATACTATATTGAGCAACTCCAGCTGCCTTGGTGGGGTGTTTTGCTTGCATGTGCCATTGCGTTTTCCTTCACCCTCCCAATTGGAATAATCACAGCGACAACGAACCAGGTACCGGTTTTTAACACCCTGTGCATATTAGCTGAAGAGCGCAAGTTCAGACACTTCAGCTTCTTTTGCTGTATGCAGACTCCAGGCTTGAACATCATCACAGAGTACATCATGGGGTACTTATACCCTGGACGGCCAGTTGCAAATATGTGCTTCAAGGTGTATGGTTACATCAGCATGAGTCAAGCTCTGACCTTTCTTCAAGATTTTAAGCTGGGCCACTACATGAAGATTCCCCCAAGGACCATGTTTATGGCTCAGGTAAGCTATACTAGCATCTCTTCGGCGCAGATACAAATATGGCTTTGTTTTATTGTGTCACTAAACAGCATCTTGTAACATGACAGGTGGTGGGAACTTTGATTGCAGCATTTGTATACCTCGGAACAGCATGGTGGTTGATGGACACAGTCCCGAACATCTGCAACACCGAGCTCCTCCCATCAGACAGCCCTTGGACCTGCCCCGGTGATCATGTGTTCTATGATGCATCAGTTATCTGGGGTCTTATTAGCCCGCGCAGAATATTTGGCGACCTAGGCACTTACTCGGCGGTGAACTGGTTCTTCTTGGGTGGAGCTATTGCCCCCTTCCTAGTATGGCTTGCACACAAGGCATTCCCAGGCCAGAGCTGGATCTTACTCATCAACATGCCCGTGTTGATCGGTGCCACCGGCAATATGCCACCTGCTACTGCAGTCAACTACACCGCATGGATACTTGTTGGGTTTTTGTCAGGTTATGTGGTTTACAGATATCGGCGTGACTGGTGGGAGCGACACAATTATCTGCTTTCTGGTGCACTAGATGCTGGTTTGGCATTCATGGCTGTCCTGATTTACTTATGCCTAGGCTTGGAGAACATCAGTTTGAACTGGTGGGGCAATGATTTAGATGGATGTCCTCTCGCCTCTTGTCCAACTGCCAAAGGTATTGTCGTCGAGGGCTGCCCAGTGTATACATGAGAACCCATGGTTTGACCTGGGGAGAAGAGAACATGACAAGTGAAGAAGTGTGCGAAGAGCAATGTAAATAATCAAATTTATTTTCAAACAATTTAGAGATGAGAAATTGGTGTTATTTTTATTGTATTTTGAAGAGTTATGAAGATTAATAATAATGTTCAAGTAAAATGGGTAGTTATGGCCAAAGCAATTACTATTCCAGCTTGGAAAGAAGTCATTCCATGGTAGAACGAAACATATAGATAAAATTTATTCATAAAAAATAAACAAAGAACGATGCATCTTTTAGGCTAGTAACCATTGACAATAACAGATCCTTTTTTTTTTGGTGTGTGCGCGCACGCGCGCGCTACAGAACTTGTCTGATCTCATGGTCATGGAAACACAACAACTAACCTGATTAATTTTCTGAAGAAGCCCAATAACATAAACAGAGAAAGATGTGTCTTTAGACTAGTAAGCATTATCAATTACAGATGTTTTTTTTTTGTGAGCCTATTTGCTACATAACCTGTCTGATGTCATGGGAACACAACACACTAACCTGATTAATTTTCTGAAGAAGCCCAATGATGTAAGTTTCATAAGAAAAAGTCTCTGAACAAAATTAGAAGTTCCAAGCTTCCAGTTATAATCTGATTCTTTGTGGCTACATATTCAGCACCAAATCGAGATGCTTTTTCCAAGTTTCATTTGTATCTACCACTTTTTTGATAAATATTTCCCACGATTGACCATCCATGAAATCCCGACCACATAAAGCTGCATCTTCAACGATAGTGAAAACAGTATCATCATGACTTGGCTCAGAAAGGCTATCAACCAATGTTTGGTAAAGAGATTTGCTTGGAGTGCACCCTTTGGCCATCATCTCCTTAAATAGCGCATAACCTTCATTTGACTTGCCTATTTTGCAGAAACCCTTGACCAAGGCCTCATAAGTCATTGCATTTGGTTCATACCGCCGTTCGACCATGTCATCCCACACCCTACCAGCCTCCTGTAACTCTCCATTCTCACATAATCCTACAATAAGCGAGTTATATGTCAGCAAGCTTGGCACGAACCCCCTCTCGAGCTCATCGAACAGCCTCCTCGCCTCCTGAACCATTCCATTCTTGCATAACCAGTAGATCAATGTGCTCACAACAGTGTTATCTGGTGGGACATTCTTCTTCACCATCTGTCTCCATATCTCATTCGCCTCTCCTGCCTTTCCATCCTGGCATAGCACATCAACCACCTTGGCACACAGAGGTGTGTCCGGTACATATCCTGCCCCTAGCATCTCCCTTGTCAAATCACGCGCCTCTGTAGATTTTCCCTCCTTGCAGCACGCTTCGATCACCACAGAGTATGTAACCTCATTTGGCTGCACCCCAGCGGCTTCCATCTCATCCATGATCCTTGCTGCATCTTGCAACTTCCCACGCTGGCAGTACCCATCAATAAGCACTGTGTACATCGTAGCATCCGGCCTACGCCCACTGGCAATAATATCATCAAAGAGCTGTTGTGCACCCTCGAGATCACCTTTGGCGCAGTAGGCAGTGAGAACCGTGGTGTACGTGATGACATCCGGGACGATCCCCCAGCCAGTCATTTGGTCGAGCACCTTGAGCGCAGCATCGAGGTCACCGATGCCAACTACACCCTTGAGCAGGATGTTGCAGGAGACGAGGTTGGGCGTGATGTACAGCTTGGTTGGCGCGGCACGGAAGAGCGCGGCGGCGAGGCGGAGGCGGCGTGCGGAGACGAGGGAGTGGAGGAGCGCGTTGAAGGAGCGGGTGGAGGGGCGGGAGTTAAAGGATGGTAGGGAGAGGAAGAGGCGGAGGGACGGGAGCGGGCGGAGCGCGCGGAGGAGCGGCAGGAACGGGCGGTCGGAGAAGACCGGGAGGCGGGACGCGCGGAGCAGGGAGAGGACGGGGGGCAGGTGGCGAGCCGCGGCGCCGGCGCCGGCGCCGGCGTGGGAGAGGCGGGAGAGCGCCGCGGCGAAGACGGGGAGCGAGGGCGGCAGCGGAGGCGCGGCGTGGAAGAGCGCGTGGCGGAGGGCGACGACCGCGTGCTCGGGCGTGGCCGCGCGGAGGAGGAGCCGGGAGAGCGACCGCGCCGTGAGGCGGCGCGGCCAGGGCTGGACCGGCGGCGTGACGTTGTAGCCGGACTCCGGCAGGGATGCCGGGAGCGGGGCCAGGTGCGCGAGCGGCACGGTGGTCCGCGTGGCCGGATCCGTGGAGAAGGCGCGGGCGCCGGGGCTCCACCGGCGCGTGCTGCCCGCCATGAGCATGGCGTCGGCGCTGCCCGGGACGCGTCGCGGTGGCGAGGTGAGATATTTTAGGACCTATCGGCCAGCGGAGAGCCGACAGGTACTTATGGCCCCTGCCTACCGGCCCGATATGGCCCACCTTGTCGTCTGCTTGGGACCTGTCGGTGCCCCAGTTGCCGATAGGATTCAGGCTTCAAATAAATTTTAAAATTCATTTTTTTATCTCCCTCCTACGTTGTTTTCAATTGAGAATTTGAAATTTGAGATTGATTGGAAACTATTTTTTTGATTTAATATGTCGCGGCATCGACGTAGATAGGTAATCGTCCAACAATAAATATGTGATAGAATATGTTGGAAATTAATAATTAATTCATCAAAATATTGTTTGAACTATATATGAATATGCATTATGACATACTTTTCATTTTCTCATACATATTTTGTAAAATGCAACTACTACAGAACTGACATTCACGGTTAGCTGCTTACGAACCGGCAGAATGAGACCTTTTTTTAATCGAAGTGTCATGAAGATAAGGTCAACATGAGTGAGTGGCCCGAAAGCAAGCGAGTGATCATACGGTTCCCAACAGGAACAAAATAATGCCAGATAACTTAACTGTGAAATTATTATACTATAAGAACCAATGTTTATTCTACATAGGGTTATTCAAATTTGTTTGTGCTAGACCTCTCGATCCACCAGCTAGTGCAGTTTCCGCCTTTCTCTGATGATATTTTTCTCTCTGTTGTTTATTTTTTTCATCCCTTGCTGCATGTCGTGCTTTTCCCTTTTCATTTTACGTTGGTTCATCAACTTGCGCCTGTGAATTTGATGTACTATGGACACCTGTTTGAAAATCAGTTGACAAAGATTAGTCCATGCGGTTGCTATGGGTACACAAAATTTGAACAAAAATAACATAGAACTGAACACATGATATACGTATTAATTATGGTGGATATAATATCAGGAAAAAAAACTTCACATGAAACTTAGGGTCTCGTTGAAAATCACAAGCAGTCTAGGATTAAACATGAAAGGATTATAAACGCGACGGAAAGAGTGACTATGCTATTAGAAAACTCATGCTAAACTTTAGTCCATGTAAACAAAATGATACGATCTGTGTGCCTACTGATTATCCTCTTTAGGTGAACGCATTCGGTGGCATCACGAGGCTGGCATTGTTTCCAAATGCTGCTGGAGTGCTGGCGTCCAAGGAAGAGATGCCTGCCAGTTAGTGTGGTGTGACTGCAGAAGTGCAGAATCACCACGCTGAATGCAGCAAGGCAAGTTTGACGGCTCAGATGCCACTGGTTCTTATCCAGCTTGGTCTTGTTATCTCAAGTTGCCTGATCAAACGAATCAGTTGGTCAGGAAGGCATACTTTCATGGAATCACAATACCTCTTATATATAACCATAAGACTGCAGGAATGAGAGAAGCTAACTGAAATATGTCAGTATACATACATCATAAAGTCTAAGGAAGATATAATCAGGTCGTACCTCTAATTTCTCCCATTGTACAGGTCAAAACAGAACACAATTCCGCTAATGAGTTTTCAGGTTCTAGCAATTGAATTACCATACTAAACAACTAAGTGGTCACATGTCAGACTCTTTGTAGGTTAGCATTTTGATATTTTGTAAACACATTCCATTTACGGTCAAGTTACAGTAGTGGTCCAAGATGGAGTGACTGTGGTTGTGCAACAGCTAATGATTACTTTAAAAGTTGATTCACTATTGCATCAAAGTGATACTTCTGAAATTAGAGGTTCACTTAGCTGCTCTACTACTACGGTAACAGGCTTACACAAGTATACAGGGTAGTGATTGATGACCTGCTGTGAAAAGAAAAAAGTTGATGCCAGACCCATACAGCTACATGTTCTAATGATCAATCAAAGGAGTCAACATCCAAACAAGAACTAAACCATTCAGAACCTATACTTATCGGCAATGTAATAAACTAAAAGTCACAAGCACTTGCACGCGGATTATTGTCATTTATGCAAATCACAATGTTCAGAACCTATGCCAACTGCTTGCTGCTGCAACCGAACATAGCGGTCCAACCAAGTAAATTAAAATGAGCTGCTATAAGATCAACAATTTTCAACACACATGCAGGAATTGTTTAAAGCTCAGTGATGTTCAAATTACCTTGCCATAATTAGCTTAACTAATGGATTAGAACTGTGTTGTTGCTATCACTGAACAATAACTGGTGTTGCTGATCTGAAAATGAAAGTGGCTACTAACTGAATAAGAAAGCACATGACCAGACAAGAAATTCAGAACAGCGTGATCTGCAGCTGCTAACAGCGAGAGACAGATAGCAGATCAATGGGAGTTGGGAGGAATGAAAAACAAACAAGCTAAGATCAAAGTGCGAGATCTTATGTGGGTAGCGACGACACGGAGGAGCCCCCTTGCAAATCCTGGCTTAGTACATAATCTCCCCTGAACGAATTAGTAAACCTACAGTATTCCAATTCATAACCCACTATAGTGATCTTGCTGGCATTAACTGTGCTGTCATGTTAGTTAGGGCTTGGCATTGAAGTTCATGGACAAATCATCTGAAATAATAATAGTACCTGACATCAGTTTATACAATAACATAGATCTGTAATATGCCCAGCTACAATTTACAAATCAGCTGTTAGGAAAGGAACATTAATTCTTCTGTGAATGGCATAGTTGGACATGTAAACTTCAACATTTAATAATTTATACAATAACATAAATCTGTCATATGCCCACCCAACTTTTATCTGTCCCATAATGTTGCATTCAGAATAAGCCAATTAATATGATATGAACACCGAAGCTATTACAAGCAGCATAGGTAAAGGAAGTTATGCTCCTCATGATCAAGGAAATAGCCCACCAGAGTCAACAATAAACAAAGATATAATCTCATACAAAAAAGAAAAAACTGTACTCATGTTATGATTCTAAACTCTTATTCCACCTGCTGCGGAAAGAACTGCATTACACACAAAAATACAGCTTAGATCGCAGTTACATTGAATTTACTCATAAACTATGATTCCGAAATCCGAATACCTGATACTGCAGTGGTGCTCCTCACTGCTCGAATGAAAAATCCCCTGTGTTGGTGCCCCAAACATGTGAGGATAGTGAGAGAGAGTGAAGGCCCGATGCGGCCTCGTCGTCAAGTGGCCACAGCCATGTTGGAGCCACCCCCACGGACCCCAGTGCCGCCGGTCAGGAGGAGAGGGGAGGGTGCTGCACCTCCCTCGGTCTCTTTCATGCTGTCCAGCTCTTCAGTTATCTCAAAGAATACTACAGTGTTATTAGGTGAAATAACAATTGAAAGAAGTAAAGAACCTTTTCCTGGTTTTTTTTTCTCAAAACAGTAATGGGTCTTTTCTCAAAGTCACTGGTTTTCTTTTCTCAAAGCACTCTATATCATGATGAAAGAACCAGGATTAATTAATTTCCAACCATACTATTGCATTATCACTTGCTATCTAAATTGTTGCTCTAAATTACACTACTGCATCATGCCCATGAAAGAAAATAAATTACAAGGAGGGACTAAATATTCGGTTGTTCGGTAAACTCACATTAGGATCGTCTCCAAATCCTCATGTTCTGCACTGCAACAATGACAACAAAAAGATGGATTGCAAAAATTAGAGATATCGAGCAAATGAATTGAATGCTCAAATGAAATAACAAAGGCTTAATTGTGGATGTATTACTCTCAACATTATTGACAAATTGGACAATATACTGGAATATCAGACTCCTCGGTGGTCCAGGGCGTCTGGTCCAGTCTGGTCGGGCAGCCCAGCGCGACGAGCCGACGAGCATGGAGAATGGGAGAAGTCAACAACCAGGTAAAATAGGAGCCCATCTTCGATAATTCCCGTGGGATTGATGTCGTGGAACCCATATCTTCTGCCCCTGTGGATGTCGCGTATTCGGCAGCCATACGTCTCGCCGTCGGGCACCATCGAGAAACCGCTCAACAGAGCTGTGTGCAAGCCAACGCAGCACGCGGCTCTGGCGCGCGGGCTCATGGGCATTGACGCAGATGCAGCACGTGCGCTGCCTGCGTCCGTCCGAGAGGTGCGGCGTGCTCTCTCGACCCCCTGGTCCTGCTGGACCGCCATCGGCTCCGGCCGCAACGCCCCCGGGATCCCTCCATAGAGCCACCAAGGACCGCCGGGAGAGGACATCAGCTTCCTCGTCTGCACCCCAGCTTGACCTGCTGCTTCATAGAGGACGACGCGCATCTGCGAGAGAGGGAGAAACAATGAGGGTGAGGGAAAGGACAGGGACAAGGAGAGGGGAGGGGCTCACCACGGCCTGGGATTAGGCGCGGTGACCAACGGATCCCAGCCGTGTCACGCGCAGATCCTGGCTGCCTGCCTCACGGCGAGAACGACAGCGACGGCGAGGGTGCGACGGCGAGGTCAGGCAGCGACGGCGAGGTTGCGAGGGCGAGGACGGCCGTGGCTCGGGGGCGGCCTCGAGGCGCCCGCGCGGTTGCGACGGCGAGGGCGGGAAGAACGGCGGCGCGGGAGGAGCGAGGGCGGGGGCGGGGGCATTGGGGCCGAGTGGGCTGCGAGTGGACCGAAAGCAAGTCAGTGACCGAACAGTTGGATGAATGAACGGGCCAGACGAAAAAAGCCCAGACAAAAAAGAGGCTGAAATTTTACCTCTTTATTAATATATATATAGGTATAGATTCTTTTTAATCAAATACTACATTTGCAATTATTTATTAAAAAATATTATTTTTTAAAAACATTTGTGAGTTGCCCTGTCGCGAAGAACTTGGGTTCGACTAGTGGACATATTTGCTGTGGGGTTGGCTCGTATGGGGCCTCCATGTTTCTTTTTTGTTGGCCCGGGCGCACTTGGGCTTACTGAGATTGGCCTGCCGTTGTGAATGCGATGCCAGGAGCCGGTTGTATAATCCCCTCAAAAAAAAGGAGCCGGTTGTATGCTTGTTGTGTACCCGCTCCATCCTAATGTGTTGTCTAAAAAAGAATAGGAAAAATTGGTTGTGCAACATCTAAAGATCTTGATCTCCGTAAAATACCACCGAAAGTTTGGCGCTCCGTAAAACACCACTGAAAGATTGAACCGTGAACTGAAAGTAGCATTCTATTAAAATGAAGTCACGGGAGTGACGGAAGCCTCCGTCGCGCCCGAACGCGATGTTGTCGCAGATGCTCGCCGCGAACAGGAACAGCTCCTGAGGCACCCCGCCACCATGTGCAGCGCCTACAGGTTGTGCTTGCGCACGTCCTTGCCAGATAGGACTATAGGAGCACACGCTAGGACGTGGGCTCGTAGAACCGCTGCACCAGCGCTAGCAGGTTCCAGCGGCTAGAAGCATGTGTCGTTGCCGAGTTGAAGAAGCACACGTCCAGCAGCAAGTTCCACCGGCCAGAAGCAGCGCATCGCCTTCGCCACTGCCGGACCATGGCCCTGTCGGCGGCTTGGACAAGACCGACGCGGCGCCGAGGGTGACGCAGCTGCCGAGGGTGGAGCTGAAGTCGGCCTTCCACTTTAGGAGCACGCCATCGTCAGTGCCAGCTCGATGTGGAGGCGTTGCAGCTGAGCGGAGCACCTCGGAGCACGAGTGGTGGACTGGTGGGAGTCGTCCGCGACGGGCGCGGGCAGTGGCTCGGAGCGCCAGGAGACGCCCGCAGCGGTGGGGGACAGGATCTGGCCGAGCGCGTGGCGATGCCGCTGACTAGGACACATGCGATGTGCACGAACGCGTCACACCCGCAGCTAGTGCCTGGTGCGGCGGGGAGCCCGGTACAATGGAGGAGGAGGAGGAGGAGGAGGAGGAGGGCGGCGGGTTGTCGGGATGACGCAGTCAACGCGGACGAAGACGGAGTCGACGAGCAGCATGAGCGCGTGGAAGCGGCGCGAGACGAGGGCGCAGCTGCCGAGCGCCTTGATGTCGCTGATGCGGTTGAGGACGTCCCGCTGCAGGGGCCCTCCTCCTCCTCCTCCTCCATCCCACGCAGGTTACAGGCACACAGATTGGGATCGGGGAGAGGCGTCGGCGCGGGGCAGGACCGGGCGGGGCTAGAGCCGGGACAGCAAGGACGTGCGCAAGCACGAGCGCTGCGGCACGTGGTGCCGGTGGTGCCGTAGGAGCTGTTCCTGTTCGCGGCGAGCGTCCACGAGAACAACCCGTAAGGGCATGACGGCGTGACGGAGGCTACTTTCAGTTCCGTCACTTCTGTCACTTTATTTTAACGGAATGCTATTTTCAGTTCACGGTTCAATCTTTTGGTGATATTTTATAAGGACGCAAACTTTCGATGGTATTTTACGGAGATCATTCGATGCTACACAACCAATTTCCCCAAAAGAATATAACTCTAGCTTAAAGAGTAGGAGTGGTATCTAAAAAAATATGCTCTACGGATGTATGACACAATAAAGTATACAGTTTATAATTGCAATCAATTGTTTCAGGCTTTTGATGTTGCCTTCTTTTCCATCCTACTTCTAAATGGACTTTGTGAAGTTTTGGGTAGGTATGAAAAGCGGCATACTTGCAACACATAATTTTTCTAAGTCAAAGAGTGGATCCAAGGAGATGCAAGTCATACACTTTGATCAAGAAGTGTAAGTGTGTTGAATTTTAAATTAAACATTGAGTCATGGGGATTCTGACAACTGATGAAGGACACTGGTTGTAGTGTTGATCAAGTCATGGGGAGAGTAGAGGTACCAATACTCCCGGGAGCTGATGTCTAGAAATATAAGAATGGCTAGAGTCTTGTCAAACCTGCCTTGATACCGAAGCTGCCAACGCAAATGCACCGTTTACACAAATGGTACATGAAAGCGTGTCAGGAAGGTCGGGAATGGCTCATGGCAAAAATTAAATTCGAGCATTACTTCCGTAGCGAGGACTTGATAAACATTGAGTTTTTTGAATTACACCAACTATACCAGCAGGAAGCTCTTGACAAATCTATCGTCAGCTACGGGTGTCTGTAAGTGATACCTTTCTATATGAATAATGCCTCTTGTTCATTGTCTATAATTATCCTCACTATATTCTTTTGTACTATATATATGTAGAATGGAGATGATGAACCACAAAAAAAATGGGATCTATGATGTTGGTTTCATGGATCCATATACCATACACCATGAAACAGTTCGTGATAAACCAGATGATGTAGAGAAGAGCATGCTCAAGTTCTTCAACAACCAACATCACATGACAATGATACTCTTCCCTTACAACTTTAAGCGAGTGTTACTGTCTTGTACACAACTTACTCCATGTTGAGTGTAATTAATGAGGTATGCCTACGTATAAACATGCAGCTTCCACTGGATATTGTCAGTCATCACTTTTTTCAGAAAGTAGTGTCTGTATCTTGGACTCCTCGAGGAAACCGGGACAGGATTACCAAGCAATGATAGTTATTCTCCGGAGGTAATTTCGGTCTCGCACTATACCTCTATCACCATTTTCTTGATATATCAGGAGAATAACTCCTTTTATTTATTTTCTTGGGCAGGTCTTGGGCAAGGTTCATTTCTAAAAACACAGGTGACTAGAAAGCTCCTCTGCATATATTTGACCACAAAGTACTAGCTAGGTCTCCGCATCTTTATTTCGTTCATTCCATTATTACCATGCTTGACTATGGTTTGATGAATCGTTTTCTCGTAAAGTAGTGTCTGAGGCAGGAACCGGGGAACAACTTATGTTGATACTATGTTTGAGAACACCTAATGTCTTACTCAAAGAAAACACTCGAAGAACATCTGGTAGTACGCAAACAATATACACAATTTATTTATTACCATCGTGTTGATATATATACACACACTACTCATATATTCATATTTTTTTTCTTTCGTTCGTAGCTTGAGTGGAAGCAGAATCAGGTCCTACGATCGGAACAAATCAAAGCAATACAAGAGGCATTGGCAGGATTTATCTTTTAGCAGGTCATAGATCCCAAAGGAGAATACTTTTATGATGGAAAATTAAATCCTTTGCTTCCTGGATGACTTGTAGCGTACACATCATAATATACAGCCTCTTATTAGTTTATGTATAGTTTCATGTATATACAAGCTTTTGAAATATATGTATAGTTTCATACTAGCATATGTATAGTTTCTAATATATGTATATATGCTCGAACGAGAACTTATATGTATGGACGTACGTTAGTAGCGTAGAATATGTATACGAAAAAAATATTTGAAATGAAAAAATGATTTAAATTGAAAACAAACCATAAAAGAAAAGGATACCATAAAAGAAAAAAAAGAAAAAGAAAAAAAGGAAAAGAAAAAGAAAAACAAAAGGACTCGGAACTACAGATACGTTCCGGTTCCCTAACCCAGAACGGCCTAACCCAGAACCCCTTTAGTCCCGCGTTGGCAGTTCAGGTTGGGAAACCCTGGAAACCGGGACTACAGGTTCCCAACCGGAACCGTAGCCCCTTTCTGTACCAGTGTTTGGATAATTTATTATGAAGCTGAGTCTTAATATAATGTCCCCGCTGCGTCTATTCGGATACAACTCATGGACCTTCGTTATTAATAAGTGTTCTTTCTAATATAGTGCTTACTGCCCTAGGCGAAGTCATTATATGTGCTCATTCTGCAATATGCGTCCTCGAAGCAAAGAGAAATTTGATCACATTTCTCTCTCTCCGGAGGGAAATGGCCGGAAGTGTCATCGTTCCCGATGACGGCCCTGCCGCAAAATACGATGGAGGCCTGACGTTCTCAGTGTTCATGACATTGTTGCAGCCTCGGGCGGCCTAATCATGGGCTACGACATTGGCATCTCCGGTCTATTATCTTCCTCTGATGATGATCATGCGTACCACTCCATTTTTGTAAGCTTTGTTACTTCAGAAACACTAACAGAGTCATCTGTTAATCCAAGGCTGTGCCTCTGAGATGGAGCCGTTCCTGCGGCGCTTCTTCCCGGGCATCCTCAAGAGGATGGCGGCGGCGAAGCAGGGGAACGAGTACTGAACCTACGACGGCCAGGCGCTCACGGCGTTCACATCCTCGCTCTACGTTGCCGGGATGGTGTCCTCGCTGGTGGCCAGCCGCGTCACCAGGGCGATGGGCCGGCAGGCCGTCATGCTCATTGGCGGGCCGGGTCGCTCTCCATCGCTGGCAGCGCCATTGCCGTCGTCGCCGTGAATATCGCCGTGCTCATCGTCGGCCGCATGCTGCTCGGCTTCGGCGTCGGCTTCACCACCCAGGTCAG